GGCCAGAGGGCCATTTCTCTCTTCCTTTGATTCAGGGCTGATTGGGTCTGTTTTTTCTGTCCCCAAACTTTTCTTTCTCCTCTCCAAGGATCATGGAAGGAAGGTTTGCCTAGGATGCCCAGACCCTGAGTAGGTCTTTAACATGTCTTGCTAAAGTTGTAGCCCTGGATAAGAGTGTCTGGAGCTCATGAGGTACAAGAGAGAATTTTTCATTCTCTCTATGGGACCCTAGGCTTGTTTCTTCTCTCTTGGCCTCCTCCTCCTATCCCCTGTGAGAAATGGAGCAAATACTATTGCTTCTCTACCTGCAGTGTGTTGGTAAATTTTCATCAAATATCAGCTATCAAAAAGGGGAAGGGGGAATTCTGATTTGGTTTTATGTTGGTTTGTTTTTGGTTTTTTTGTTTTTGTTTTTTGGGTTTTCGTTTCGTTTTGTTTTTATGGTTTTTTGTTGTTGTTTTTGGTTTTTTGTTTGTTTGTTTGTTTGTTTGTTTTTGGGTTTTTTTGTAAGTTTTTTTGAGACAGGGTCTCACTATTCAGCCCTAACTGTCCTGGAACTCACTCTGTAGATCAGTCTGGCCTTGAATTCACAGAGATCCACCTGCTTCTGCCTCCCCAGTGCTGGGCTTAAAAGTGTGTGCCAACACACCAGGCAGCATTCTGGTTTAAAATTTAATGGTGTAAAATTTTGCATGGGCAGCTATGTAGCTACGGCCAATTTGCCTTTATTTTGCTGAATGTGGAATTGGAAATGATGGATTCAGTTTGCTCTCTAAAGAACTGGCTCCAGTATTCTATGACCACTGTCCTTGGGGATAGAGAGAGGAAGAGATGAAGCTAAGATTAAAAACATGCAACGTGGACTTCCGAGAGCTCCAGTGATGAAGGTCTATGATGATTATGGCCTTACAGCAGAAGGGAACTTGACCCATATCTTCCTCCATAGTCCCCCATCTATGAAAGAGACACACAGTGGGCAGACATCAGTACTAAGTGGTGACATAGGGTGCTCTAGACCAGCTCTGGGGATTCTGTATTTGGGAGAGGGGGAGAAGGGAAAGGAGAAGTCAGTTTGTTGACACTGGTACACATGCCATTCATTCTGTTCTGTGAAACCAAAAGAGGTGGGCTCAAGGTTTGACAACAGAAGGTTTCTTCTAAGTTCATAGGCCACTATCAGGACACTGGGGCCAGCATGGATGGTTCCTGGGGGATCCAAAGCAGTAGGGACATCCTATCTGTTCCATTCCAGGACATTGAAGTTTCTGCAGCCACTGGCTCTACTGCAGGGGAATGAACAAATGGCCTGAGGCCTGAGTGAAGAGGAAGTTCAGTCTGTCAGTGGAGGAAGCTGATGTCAGGGAGATAGTTGGGGGTGGGGGTGGGGAGACAGGAAAGGGCAAGAAAAGGGAGTTCCCTCCCCCACACCAGAGCCCATGCCTTAAATTAACTCTGTCCCACTGCTAATTATTAATAATAGCTATCATTTATTGAGTATGTACTGTGTGGTAAGCTATTTACAAGCAATATTTCATCCAATCCTCCAAAGAGGTATGCATTATAAGCTCTACTTTACAGAGGAGGAAACTGAGGCCCAGGGAAGGAAGTTAAGCAATGTGTCCAACCAAATTCTCACCCTGATCAAGATGCAGACTCAAACCTGACTCCCAAGTCGGCAGCTTTAAGAACTCTACCCACTGCTCCAGCAAAGGGCTGGCACTAGCATACCTCTCCCCACTCCCCACCCCCATGCTGAAAAGATCCTCCACAAACACTAACTAGGGGCCCTTTGTCCAGCCCCTGAAGCAGGTGACCCCTTTAGGATGTAGTTGATTGAGGGCTCACATCCCTAGACAGTGTGGCCTTAGAAAATCAGTTACTTTTCTTAAGGGACACATAGAACAGGGAGGGCTTCAGCTGTAGGTACCAAGGATGCAACATGGTCACTGAGCTAGAAGTCAGTATTTATAGAAACCACTCAGAAGAAAGCCTGGGGGAGGACCACTCTGGGACATCTGCATCCCCAATGCAAATCAAGGGGAAGGCCTATGAACCCTGCAGAAACAAACTCAAGTCCTGGAAAAAAGGGTGGGGGTTTGCAGAGCCAGAGTTTGATAGTCCAGGTTAGGAACAGAAGGCCTTTGATGCACAGGCTCTCTCTGCCTGGGACTTATACAAATAGCTCCACCTAGGGTTGAGGGATTGGGGAGTGAGGCATAGGTGCTTCTAAGCAAGACAGAGCTTCAAGAGGGGAAGGCCCAGCTGGAGCTTAGGTTCAAATCCATAAAGCAGGGCTGGTGTCTGAGTCTTCTGAGGTCATGATATATAAAGACCAGGCAGACAGGGAAAGCCAGCAAGGGCAGCTGCCACCTGGGGTCAGCATCATCTGCATCTCTCCCCTTAGACTATGAGGCCTGAAGCAGCAAGACTGTCATGGTAACTGTAGAGCCTGGGATTAGAGGCCCTTGGGTCCAGCTACGTTTAGCCAACTGAAGCCAGAGGTATGAGGTGTGTGCCTGGCCATTTTCTGGGTATCAGCATCATACCACTTAATCTTCAAGAGGCCCTAGTGAGATAGGTCCACACACCCCACTTCTCAGACAAAGAAAGTGAAATATAGATTTACATAGTGTGTTCAAAAATCACAGAGCCAGAATGTGACAAGGCTTGGAACTAAAGTCAGATCTACCTCAAGCTCAACCATTGCTGTTCTCCCTCCTCGGACTGTAGAGCCTAAGATGGGGAGGAAAGGCCCCAGCCTCGTACCTGGAGGGAGATGAGACTGCATCTGGATGGCGCCAAGTTCACATGACACCACCTCCTCTGGGAAAGGTAGTTCTGAGCCAGGGTGAGGCATGGCAGGCAGGCCCGAGCTGTCCAGGGAACAGGGACCAGGGCAGGCAGTCATGCAAAGCTAGAGATGGGGTGTCCTCACCCCTGCCTGCTCCCTTGAAGTGTCCAGTTACAGCCAGCTCTGCGCTTCCCGGTCACGCCACATTTAGCATTGCTGAGAGTGAGCCTGCACAGGGATATAGAGAAGGGTGGTAGGGACTCTTTGAGGGGTGGGAGAGAACCTCCCCACCCTCAAACCCATCGACACTTCAGCCACCAGCCGTCTCCCAGACTAATCCAATGTGGGACTCTGGACAGCTTCCCTTCCCTCTTTGACACCATTATCCTATCTGGAGATGGCTAATTCATCAAAGACGTGTCAACTGCTGACTAGGCCAAAGCTCAGAAAGATGAGGCCTGCCCTCTCTCTCAGATTTCCCAGAACTGCACCTCTACCCTGCTGTGACTAGCGGGGTCTTGGGTGGAAGGCATAAGTGAAAAGCTCTGGTTCTTCTTTCTGTTTGGCCCCCATAACATTCCGCCATCAAATACAGTAGTGGGGAGAGAAGTTAGCCAAAGCTTACTTCAGGTTCTGGCGACCAAGGGTTGGCTGTGAGACTGGGAAAGTCACAGAATCCCTCAGGGCCTCAGTTCTCTCATTTGAAAGACTGAATTAATAATATGCCATCCTCGAAGCAAAGTGATGGACTTGGGCATGGTGGCTCACACTTGTAATGCCAACCCTTGGGAGGCTGAGGTCAATCGATTGTCAATAGAGGCAGAGGGCTGACAATAGTTCAGGGTTAGCCTGGCCTACACAGTGAATTCCAGGCCAGCAAAGACTATATGGCAAGAGCCTATATTAAAAACAATAGGGGCTACAGATATGACTCACTCAGTAACACGACTGTCCATCATGCAGGAAGCCCTAGATTTGAACACAAAACTGAGCACAAAGGTATGTGTCCGTAATCCCAGCACCTGGGAGGTGGAGGAAGAAGTAACCTAAGGTCACCTTCAGTGTATGGAAAACCATCCAAAGTAGTCGGTACAGAGCAGTTCCTCAGAAAACAATGGCTGCTATCAGAGATGAACTCAGGGGCGTGAGTTCAAAGGCTGATCATGGAAGAGCCCCAGGAATAACACTATTATTAATAATGAAACCTGGCGTGGATCAAGCCCTGGTGTGCTTGTGCTGTGCTCTGAGCTTTCTCTGCATGATTTCATTTCACTCTCAGCGCCCTGTGCGAGGTTCTGTCACTCATCTTGTTTGCAGATGCTGCTGTGGAAGTGCAGAGAGCTCTGCTGACACAGCCTGGGATGGACAGCCAGCCTCGCCTGGCGAGGAGCCCTAAGGCCTCCCAGCTGCTCTATGGTGCTGGGTCAGGGTTCTGCAACAGTTCAGAAGGGGTCAGCCCTCGGATCTAGTCCAAGCCTCAGCTTTTCATAGGCTTTCAAGCTGAAGAGTTCAGAAAGAGGGCAGGGATGGGAGCTGGGGAGCATCTTGGAGGGCAATGGGTTCAATCCCACACAGAGCAGGAAGGGAGGAAGAAGAAAGGGGATAAGGAAAAGAGAAATGCTTGGCACATAGTCACTAGTCACAGATAACAGCTTGAGGGAGGTAAAAACAACACTTACCAGATATCCCACAGGCCCTACCAGCAAGGCCCTTGGTCATCCCACAGGGCTACCCTCTGTACCATGGGAATTACTGTCACATGAAGCCTAAGCAGGATACATCTTCTGGCTCCTCCTCTCAGGGCCTACCCAGCAACTGATAAGGCCACCTAGCATAGACATAGGAAACCTAGCAGCCAGGGCTCCCTGGGAAGCAGGAGCTCACTGACTCACTGACTGACCAGGTCACTGACCAGAAAAGCTATAACCAGGCAGGACCTCTCTCCTCTGAGTATCCGATCTGGCTCATTTCTCTCTCATGATTCTCCTGTCTCATCCTCTTCAGCATTTGCCTACCGGCATGTAACAATGTTCCACCATGGCTATCTATCTATCATCTGTCTGTCTATCTGTCATCTCTTCTTTTCTCTCCGTCTCCCTGATCAGATGGCTAGCTGCAGACAGGGTCCCAGTCTAGGGAAATGGTAGGAATGGAGGTGGTGGGCCTGGGGTAGGCCACGCCTAGACGTTGGTCCTCATTCTCATCGTAGCTGGCTTTCTTCGAGGCCAGGACTGGGTGATGGTGTCACTACTCCCTCCGCAATCTGACGTCACACTTCCAGGCTCTACCCGACTGGAGGGCGAACCCCAAGGGGACCTCATGCAGGCTCCGGGCCTCCCAGGCTCCCCTGCCCCACAGAACGTAAGTACCTGGAACCTAGGCCTGGAATACTACAAGCTTGGTAGCTCTCTGAGCATTGAGTAGACAGTCACTGCCCCGCACAAGGACCTCTGCACTGACAAATATGATGACTCTAGACCTAGGACACACAGATCTCTGTTCATTCCTTGGTTTGGTATTTCCGAAGGCAAGATATGAAACTCCATCAGCCTTGGGGGTGGGGGCAAGGTTAGAAGAAGCTTGTATCAGATTGAAATCCCAAGAGCAGCTTGTCCTTCCCATCACTTTGGGATTCCTGTGAGCTTAGCCATACTCTATAATCTCAGTACAGCACAGGGTCCTGGCAGGTCCCCTGGTCCAACCTCCATTTACAGATTCTCTCTATTCTGTCTGCCCAGAAGCATGCCAACTTCAGCTGCTCGTCGTTTGTGCCTGATGGCCCTCCAGAGAGGGCACCCTCACTGCCCCCCCACAGCCCAAGCATTGCATCTCCAGGCCCAGAGCAGATCCAAGGCCACTGCACCGCCGGACCTGGCCCAGGCTCCTTCCGCCTTTCTCCCTCAGACAAGTATCCCAGCTTTGGCTTTGAGGAGGGCCCAACAGGCAGCCCAGGGCGCTTCCTCAAAGGCAACCATATGCCTTTCCACCCCTACAAGAGGCACTTCCAAGAGGACATCTTCTCTGAGGCCCAGACGGCCATGGCGCTTGATGGACACGCCTTTAAGACTCAGGGTGCACTGGAAGCCTTTGAGGAGATCCCTGTGGATGTGGGCGATGCTGAGGCCTTCCTGCCTAGCTTCCCAGCAGAGGCTTGGTGCAATGGACTCCCTTACCCCAGCCAGGAACACAATCAAGTTCTGGTGAGTACCAGTGGCCAAGAGCCTCCCACCTCCTCCCTCCTGGCTGTCTAGAAAGAATCCTCAAAGCCAGGAGTGGTGGCACATGGCTGCAATCCTAGTACTCTGGAGGCCGAGGCAGGAGGATTGCTTGAGACAGAGGCCAGCCTCTCTCTGCCTATGTATGAAGACCCCATCTCAAAATCAGAGCTCCATAGAAGGCAGCAAGCACTGAGAGTAGGAGCCTCCTGGTTCCATGCTGATCCCCTGGGGAGGGGGGATGCTAGCCTGGCAGGCATGGAGGGGGCAGGGACGGGGAGGAACACATCAGGGAAGGAATCTGGCAGCTTCCCAGAGGCTGCTGAGTCAAGATTCCAGAGGGTGACTTCTCTGTTTATTTAAGTGTCAAGAATGCCAAGCCAGACCAACACACCCCTATGCAAATGTGAGGAGGAAAAGCACATTCCAGAGAGAGAAGGTTCTGGGTTGAGCATCAGAACTAAAACCCCACCAAATATGGGCTGGGGACTTCACTAGTAGCTCTAGGCCCCTTCCAGACCCTGCCTTTATTTATTTTCATGTGTGAGACAGAAAATAGCTATGTTGCCTAAGGCTATCCGTGAACTAGAGATTCCCCTGCTTCAGTGTCGCTGGTGCTAGAATTACAGGTGGCTCCTGGACCTATTCTATGGCCAGAGCCGGCTTCTATGGATAAGTGACGTGGGAACACCTCAGAAGGTGGACTAGCACTTCTGCAGCCAGACCTGCAAGCTCTGTGACCTAGGGCAAGTCGCTCTGAGCCTCGTGGGAAAAGTCATGTTCAGGGTTCCTGTTTCAGGAGTGTGGCTTTGGGAAGCAAAGTGGGGCTTGCCCCCTGCTCCCTATCTCTGATCCCACGGCACCCGGGTGTAATAGCTCAGCCTCCTCCAGGAGTCCACCAGCCTTCCTCACCTCCTGCTTCCAAACAGGCCCATTCCAGTCCTTGGCCACTCCTATCAGGAAGGAAGAAAGGGAAACAGATGAATACCCAGGTGTGTCAGGTGTGACCAAGACAGGATGCTCTGCTGTTTCTAGAGCCGTGACTGCTTTTTCTCGAGCCTTTAGAATGTGACAGGAGCCACAGCTCAGCACCCAGAAAGCCAGCAGTTGTTCCCCATTGTCCACTCGGTGTAGCTCCTAGCCATTCAGCCAGGAGATTTCCTCCCAGGGTTCCATCATCACTCCAGAGTTCCCACTATGTCCATCTTGAGAATCAGGACCTGGCACTCTCTGGTTGAGGCCTCATAACTTACCAGGACAACTGTAACCTGTAAACAGAAATCCACCTGGTCCCATGGAGACAAGTTGTACCCAACTGCCTGATCCACTCTGAGTGACCGGTGTCCCGTAGCTTCCCCTCTTTGGGAGCAGCTCTATCATCTGTGAAATGAAGGGGTTGGACTCAGTGTTTGTGGCCCTTCCGGGCCCAAGATCCTGCGATTATGGCAATCTCTGCATCGGCTGCCCTGAGGCACACCCAGGAAGTGGTCACAGCTAGCTTTCACCTCTCTGGGCCCAAATGTCAGCTTCCCAAAAGCCTGTGGGAATCCTAGTAACAGCAGTCTGATCCTGGCTTATTTATCTGCTAGGTAGGTCTTAGCCACATGCCCTTGCTAACTATATTCAGGGCTCAGCTCTGGGTTAGGCCCTGAGGACTTCACATGGGTCTTTCAGAAATCCCTGATCTCATTCAAGTCTATGTGACCACTGGCAAGTCTCCTCCATTTCTCTGGTGGCCCAGCCTAGCCTGTCACCTGCAGTGAGGTGGAATGTGGGAACACTGTCAGTCAGCCAAGCCCCTCCACTGGCTTGCTGATTTCCCTCAGGAAAATCCCTATCCATCTCTGTTCTCTGTTCCTTCCCCCTAAGAGTTAGCCTTGAGCGGGTCACAGAAAGGATTCTTTTAGTGTGAGGTTCAAGACAAGAGAAAGAAGGAGGGGGGAAAATCTTTCTTTTCCAGCAGGGGTCAGAGGTCAAGGTCAAGCCACAAGCTCTGGACAATGGTCCTGGGATGTACTGCTACCAGCCTCCCTTGCAGCATATGTACTGTTCTTCTCAGCCCACCTTCCATCAGGTAAGTCTGGGGCAAGTGGCTATACTTCCTGGACCTCTCAGGAGGCTATGTGGGTGTCACTGTGTGCAGTGTTTGTGTATATGTATGTGTGTATATACGGACAGGCAGGTGAAGATATCAGAGTCCTGAACCTCAGGCTGGGTTATCCCAGGTGAAGAATAGTGGCTAGTGGGGAAGAGAAACTATTTCTCTTTTCTAGGGGCTCACAGACTTTTCTGAACCCTTGGTGGAGGCTGGGGAGCCTCAAACAGTGCAGCCAAGACTGAGGCAGAGTCGTGGTGTGAACCAAAGAAGGAGGGGAGGAGAAGCAAAACATCCTAGACAGACAGGAGCAAAGAGGGAAGGGGTGTGTGGTATGACACACTGGCTGAGCAGGGAAGGGAACAAAGGCTCTCATCTAGGTCACACCTTGCTGTGTGACCTTGTCCTTACATTTACCTAAGGCCGAGAGTGGTGGGCACAAGCAGAGGCTGGGGTCCTCTCTATAGTCTTTGCCACCCTCGCCCTTCCCCACCCCACTGCCCGGTTCAACCTCTCCAGAATGGATGACAAGATAAATAATTGCCCCACACTGGCAAGGGATGGAGGATTTTTGAAAAGAGACAGAAAAGAACCCCAGAGCAGCCAGGCAGCTCCCTTGGAGTCACCGGGCAAGACAGAGCAAGTGGCTGCCCAGCGCCCAGCTCCATCCACCTGCAGCCTGGCACTCAGACAGGCCCTGCCTGTGGAGCAGGTTCTACTCCCGCTCTGGCATTGGCCCCGATCCTGGCCAAGCCAGGAGGCAGGCTGGTGGGGGGAGGTGGGGATCAAGTTGCCTGTTGTGGGTACAAGTGACAGAGAGGGACAAAGAGACTTATGACATGAGGGGACATCCTCCATTTTAGAAAAGGCCTAGCTGCAAAGGCCTGAGCTTTTCTGAGGTTTCTGGTCTGACTCAGGCTAGAGGGTGTCCCTAAGGCAGTCTGCCACATCAGGGACCAAGTCACCACAGCATGAAGGTGATCAGACCCTAAGTGCCCTGGCTATGCCCAGCCCTGCTTTGAAGCCCTCTGTAGTCTTCAATGTCCTTGAACAAGATGGCCGCACCCAGGGCTTTATGGAGCCCAGAGAGAGGGTGACTCAGGCACTAAGTGTCTTTCGGTGACCTGGAAAGAACACTTCAGCCTGGAGCAGCTGGGGGAGTCAGAGTCTCCAACCCCCAGCCCCCATAAAACACCATTCCTGGCACCGCAGCCACTCCCTTCCCCGTGTAAAACTACCTCCTACCCCCACCTGCCCACCATCATGACCTGCTCTTTCAAAGAGCCACTGAAACTCGTAAAGGTGGCCATGCCTAGAACACACCCAGGCTGGACATCCCACTTCCGGCCCATTGCTCTGAGAGAGGAACAGGAGAGGAGGCCTGGAGTGCCTGCCTGGAAAGTGCAGACTATGGGCTTTTCCCCATCCCATCACCATAGTAACCAGGGTACCTCAAAGACTGTGAAGCAAGAGCTAGAGGAAGACAGCTTTGAGTTTTGGAGCATGGCTCTCTACCTAAGCCCAAAATGTCTGACCCCTGCCCATTACTCAGCCATGGCATTGGGTATGGTATAGGGTCCATGACCAATGGAAAGAGAATCTGACCTCAGCTTCCTCTCTGGACACGCATGAATGAGGAAGGGTTCCCCACCTAGGAAGGTATCATGGTGATAACTCTGTCTCTTTGGGCTCTACAGTACTCCCCAGGTGGAGGCAGCTACCCTGTGCCCTACCTGGGCTCGGCTCACTATCCCTATCAGAGGATCGCACCCCAGGCCAACGCTGACGGTCACCAGCCACTCTTCCCAAAGCCCATCTACTCCTACAGGTACATGTCCTAGCACAACTGGGGCAGAACTAGGAGCAAGGAGGGCCCTTAGGGAAGCTAAGGTCTCATGATCCTCACAATGTAAAGGTTATTGCAGGGGACAGAAGTCATACCCAGTAACATCCAAGGATGCTGCAGAAATGATGCCTGCAGGTAGGTAGGTAGTAGTTATATAACCTTTGACCTTTTGTCTGACCCTGAGGAGTCTTAAGTCTGGTTGGATTCAGTAGATACTGCAGACTTGGGTGGGTGAGCCTGTGAGGTCCCATCCTGGGTATCTGGTACTAGAGTTTAGGTGGGAGATTAAGAGAGCTGTTCATTGTCTTCCCCCTCTTCCAGCATTTAAAAAAAAAAAAATCAATGAACAGCTCTGTTACTTCCTAACTGAGAAACTGTTTGGTTGTCTGGAAGGCAAATGGGGAGACAAGTTGGGCTATCTAGAGTTTTATGTAAGAGAATGTGGGCAGAACAGTGCTTGGCACCCGCAAGAAGCCTTGTTCCCTTCCTCCTGCTTAACAGAGGCAAGGGGAGCTGAGGGCTGAGTGGTCAGGGCCATCCCCCACAGCTCTAAGGATGCTACTGTATTTTTGTCATTTCAAAACTAAGGAAACAGGCTCAGAGAGGCTCAAACAAGCTCACACATCTAGCGGCTAAGTCAGACAGCGATCTGGTTTTCCAGGTTCCACAAAATGCTTGTTCAGTCTCAGCCTCGCAGAACCTGTCGGCCAAGGAGAGCTGAAGACGGAGACCTGGTCAGAGGGCCAGGCTCTTACGATCTCTCTTTTGCAGCATCCTCATCTTCATGGCCCTTAAGAACAGTAAGACCGGAAGCCTTCCCGTCAGTGAGATCTACAATTTCATGACAGAGCACTTCCCTTATTTCAAGGTGAGTCTAAAACCCACTTCTTGCTCCAGCCCAGCAGGAAAGCAATAGGGGCCTGGCCCTAAGATGCTTCCCCTGTGTCCACTGTGAAGTGCAAAGCTCCCAAGGGGGCTGGCTATATTTTCAGGACCGAACATGGCTCAAAGAGAGAGCCTCATACCTACCAGGCTCCAGGTTCCATACTCAGTAGCAAAGGGGGCTGGCGGGAGGACTGTGAACAGAGAGCTCAGGCTGCTTGCTCCAGGTTACACAGCAGCTGGGAGGAGCTGGAGAAGGGGTTGGGGTGAGTCCTGACAGGCTTTGGGATTCAGCTACCTATCCCCTGACTGAGAGAGGAAGGCAAGTAATGGAAGTATTTCTGGCCTCAGTCAATATGCTGTGGGGCTGGAGGAATTCCAAGTTGGAGCTGGTCACTAAGGTGAGGATCACTTTCCAGAGTGAGAGTAACATCTGCCTCTATAGGTGGCATGCCGAGCTTCACTTGTACCCAAAAGTGGGGCTCACAGTCTTGGGGTGTCCCAAGGATCCAGTGGGTTCTCCCCCAACCCCATGTGTGGCATTAGCTTCTATTTTTCACAGAAGAGACTTCAGGCAACTCCCAACAGTTTCTTCCCAGTAGCCCTGGGACAGGAGGATTGAGAGGGACCCTAGGGAAACTGAGGCATGAGATTCCTCAGTATGTAACAGTTTTAGTGGCATGAAGTGGAGGTCCCACCCAATAGATTTTCAAATGTTCCTACAAGATTTCTGCACGGGAGTCACGGGTAAGAATATATCATCCCTGACCCTTGATCTAACCCTGAGGAGTCATGTCTGTCTCTGGGTTAACTTGGCAAAGCTAGTACCTTGGGTGAGCCTGCTGAAGTCCAACCTCCTGGGGACATGACAGGTACCTTTCTCTCCAGGTGAGCAAATTTATCAGAGGGTGATTTATCCTTCCAAGATCACACAGCAGATAGATCAATTGTTGGGTCAAGAAAAACACGTTTGGTTCACACACAGCCCCCTTATCCTTGACACATGTTCCCCGAGACCCTCTTGCACTGACACCTTCTCCAGAGGTAGGTGCAGAAGAGACAAGAGCTTCTGATGGGGAATACAGTCCCCAGGACTTACACTCTGGTGAATACGGTCTTATCTGCTAACCAGGCAGGACAGGAGCTGAGGCCCAGGCGACCCAGAGCCAGCTCTGTAGGCAGTGGAGATTCCTGTCCCCACTCTCTGCACCATAGTCTTGCGTGGAGATGGCTGCTGCCTGGTGTGCAGACAGCTTCGCACCTGCTGTGCTCCCTGCAGATAGGGAGTGGGCAAAAACATATTTCAGCATGGCTTTGGCTGGAATGAAAAAGTCCACTGACTTGAGGTTCTAGGTGGGAGAAACATCATAACCTGTACGGGCTGCTCCTGGACCCCAGAATCTCCAGGTAGAGATAGACACTCCCCTCCTCCTACGGTGGCAGCAAAGTCCTCCAAGAACTGAACAGAGAAAGGGAGGCGAGGTCCCTCCCTCTCCTCTGGGCCTTCTTCCCTGCCCACTCCTGGCCCTACCCCCAGCCCCTCCCTGCATCTCATCTTCCTGACTTAATTATTTTTCCTGGGAGCCGTGTAATCCCTGTTTTATGGGGCTGAAGAGTGAAGAGGTCTGACAGCTTTTTTGGTTCGGTTGTTTTTCTTAGCTGGTTGCATCACCCCCTTCATGCCGGAGTTTACATTTGACTTCAGAGCGACTGTGTAAGGATCCGACCAGCCCCATTGGCAAGGCAGGTCCCATGGGATGACCTGGGCAGGGCCCTTAGCTGGGGAACAGAGCTGGAGTCCATGCCTGGTTATCATTTCCTTGTGTGATCCAAGGCCAGCCATTTTCTTCTCTGGGCCTCAGTTAACCCCTCTGTAACACATCAGTTTGGGCCAGTTGATACCTAGCTTCCTTTCAAGCCAACAGGTTCCCTCCAAACCTCCCTAAAGAGAGAGTTCAAAGACTCTAAACCTCTCAGTCCTCATCTGGAGGTCATTTTTCAGGGCAAGGACAGAATGGACTCTGGAGTGGACAGTACTCATACCGAAGGCAGCCGCTGTGGGCGTCCCATAGGCCCATGAGTCAGGGACTGAGGAAGTGTCCAGCCACTGTGCATAATTGTTAGTGCTGACCATCTCTCGTCCAAACAGGAAGTGGCTGCGGTGGGGGCTGCCCTGGCATCCCGAAGTCCCACATTTATGGGACCATAAAAGTTCCCAGTGCCTATTAAGTCTGCTCACGGGGCAATGGAGCTTAGACTCTTAGGAGGGACAGCTGTGGGAGTTTAAGAAGATCCAGTAGCTCAAGATCCTCGCTGGTAACCCCTCATGAACTTTGGGGGTCATCAGGACCAGCCCCATGACAAGTTAGCTGTCTCCAAGACTCCAGCAGCCGCTGCCAGCAACTCTTGTGAGACTGGCATCAGGACCCAGGGCCCGGTTCTGCTAGACGTGATTCAGCTTGGCTGCCCCAGAGGCAAATGAGCTAGGGAGGAGGGCGTGGCCATCTCTCATTAACCAGAAAGAGGGGCTGAAAGCGAGAGGAACCAGGGAGTAAGGGCTCCAGGAAGTTCCATCAGCTGGAGAGGTAGCTCTCTATCCACCATCAGCCTATGTTGGGCTCAGGCTGGTCACAGAGCCTGCAACTGAGCCAGATATGTGGGACAGGAGGCCCATGCCCCTCCACCACCATCCCTGCCACCGCCTCTCACCCAACTGAGTCAGCTTAATGGTTTTTACAACCCTCCTTGGGCACAATTACTGCACTGGTGGCATGACCAGGCCTCCTAATGGGTGTTTATTCTGTTGGCACGAGCACCCCCTGCCTGAGGGCTGGCCTCCCCACCAGGGCACACCTCCAGGGCACACTCATGCGAACTCACACCCACACACTCAATCATGGATACACACGTACTCTGAGACACTTTCTCACACACAGCTATCATCACTCAGGAGTTGAGAGACCTATGGTAGGAGATGCCACTCACACAGAGAGATGTCTAAGGATTTGGTGCATATTGACTACCCCTGTCTCTACCAACACCACATCTGCCATCAAACACAGAAGCAACAGGTGTGCTAACTCCCACCTACTCACCAAGCCTTTTCTGCCCAGGTGGACCCAGAGGAGGGGCATTATGCTGTCCTCCCTTTAAAGGTGGCCCCAAAGACTTTAAAATAGTGATCTTCCTCTTTCTACAAGGGAGGCCCCGTGGACACATCCTGCGTCAATGGGTACATAGACCAGAGACCTCAGTGGCATTTACCAGCTGTCCCTTAAAAGGTTGGACATCACTGGGCAGTGGTGGTGCATGCTTTTAATTCCAGCACTTGGGAGGCAGAGGCAGGCGGATCTCTGAGTTCGAGAGTTCGAGGCTAGCCTGGTCTACAGAGTGAGTTCCAGGACAGCCAGGGCTACACAGAGAAACCCTGTCTCGAAAAAAACAAAAACAAAAACAAAAAAAAGGTTGGACATCGTGACTCATGTCTGCAATCTCAGCACTCAAGAGACTCTGAGCATCTTACTGTGAGCTTGAGGTCAGACTGGACTACAAGTGAGGTCCCATCTCCAAAAGGAGTGGGGGTTGATGGGTATTGGAGAGAGCTAGGGGGTAGAACACACCTTTAATCTCAGCACTCGGGAGGCAGAGGCAGGGGGATCTCTGATTTTGAGGTCAGACTGGTCCACAATTCGAGTTCCAGGACAGCCAGGGCTACACAGAGAAACCCCATCTCAAAAAACACAAAACAAAACAAACGAAAGAACACTGGAGAGATGGGGCAGTGGTTAAGAGCATTGGCTGCTCTTGCAGAGGACTTGACTTCTGTTCCCAATCCCACATGGTAGCTTACAAACAATCTGTAACTCCAGTTCCAGGAGATTCAATGCCCTCTTTGACAGACTCCTGTACACATGTGGTGCATAGACATACACACAGGCAACCGCACGTACATACAGAGTACATAATAAATATACAAAGGACCACGGTCCTCTGAAGGGTCTAGACTAAGAGCTAGGTAGGGTAACAGTAGCTTTTAGATTTTAGCTAAAAAATCTAACTTACAATCAAGGATTCTGCCCAATCCTTCCCCACAGCTAATGGGTTCTAAGCATATTTTTGGAGCTGAGGACATCAAACCAGAGTGTGTAGAAATTCTATGTATAGAATTGGTGAAGGAATGTTCTAGAACCCCCAGACCTAGACCCATTTCTTGCTGCCTGAACCCATGCTTTGCTCTGGCAGACCGCACCTGATGGCTGGAAGAATTCTGTTCGCCATAACCTGTCTCTCAACAAGTGCTTTGAGAAGGTGGAGAATAAATCTGGAAGTTCCTCTCGAAAGGGCTGTCTGTGGGCCCTCAATCCTTCCAAAATCGACAAGATGCAGGAAGAGCTACAGAAGTGGAAGAGGAAAGACCCCATTGCTGTGCGCAAAAGCATGGCCAAACCAGGTGAGGCTGGCAGGCCTGCGTGAGAAAGGCCCAGAGACTTCTGTACCAGAATGGAGAGGAGCGGAGCTTGCGGGAGGATCCCAGGCTGGGAGGCTGCAAAAGAGGGAGGCCTCATGAAGTTTTCTTTTGGGTCTTTGCAGAAGAGCTGGACAGCCTCATTGGAGACAAAAGGGAGAAGCTGGGCTCTCCGCTGCTGGGCTGTCCACCCCCTGGGCTGGCAGGCCCAGGTCCCACCCGGCCCCTGGCACCTTCAGCTGTTCTTTCCCAGCCTCTGCACCCAATGCATCCAGCTCCAGGCCCCATGCCTGGCAAGAACCCCCTGCAGGACCTACTGGGTGGTCATGCACCCTCCTGCTACGGGCAGACCTACCCACACCTTTCTCCCAGCCTGGCCCCTTCTGGACACCAGCAGCCATTGTTCCCACAGACAGATGGGCATCTTGAGCTGCAGGCCCAGCCAGGCACCCCCCAGGACTCACCTCTACCCGCCCACACACCACCCAGCCACAGTGCCAAGCTGCTGGCTGAGCCTTCCTCAGCCAGGACCATGCATGATTCTCTACTGCCAGATGGAGACCTTGGTACTGACCTGGATGCTATCAACCCCTCTCTCACCGACTTCGACTTCCAGGGTGAGCTGGGAGCAGGAAAAGGAAGGGCGGGACAGGACTAGAGAGGTGCTCTTGGCCCTGTGGTCTAGGTCTTCATGTCTCCAGGCTGCCACCTGCTGGCTCCTGAGTTTCTGGTCATCTGAGGCAGATGACTAGGAGGAAGTGTTGAAGGTACGCATTTACTCCCTGCCATCCAGATCATGAGGTTCTTCCCCATCTTCCTCCTCCTGGTACTCTGAACATGTCCTGGATGACTTCATCATCTTTTTTTGTTTGTTTGTTTTGTTTTTTTTGTTTGTTTGTTTTTCGAGATGGCTTCATCATCTAACTGCTCATCTCTGACAAAATTGGGAAATGCTGGACATTCCATAGTGAACCTGATTGTGAGGGACTGGGAGGCTGAACACTCCACAGTCATTTGCATTTTATCCGAATTCAGCTTTCACTGCAGGAGACAGACCTTCTATGGAATGGAAGACCTCAGAGCTAAGCATGTCCTAGAGAGATTTGAGGCTAGGAGCCCAGAGAGGGGATTCTATCCATTACCCCCACATCTGTCCACTCCATCCTGCAAGCAGGCAAGCCCCACCCTCTTCCCTTCTAAGTCCCGCCCCTTCCTGTTTAAATTGTAGTGTGCGGGCAGGCTCTGCCACTGACACGAGGTCTGGAGGAGGCTGTTGATCTATACCTTAGACTATTAGAAATAACTTCACATAGATCTTCATTCCATATCTGCTGCGGATGCAGAGAACAGGCAGCTGCAGAGGAGGCTATGGATGTAGGATACTATAAATTCTATCAGGAGGCTGGAGATGTGGCTAAGGGGTAAAGCGTTTGCACAGCATGCACCAGGCCTTAGTTAGGTTCAATACTCCAGCATCACAAAACCAAACAAACCCCTTAATTAATACCTACTCAAGCTCCTACTGAGTATCAGGGATCTCGCAAACAGCTATACATATATTCTCCCCATCTAGAGCTAGCGAGCGATACTACACACAGATATCCACTCGAGGTCACTGGGCCAGAAAGGAGTTGAACTGAGGTGGCCAAGAGCAGCAAGCATTGTCAGGTCTCTTTACCCTGCGGTGATGATCTTCCAGGCAGATATCCCTGGCCTGCCACGCGGCTGGTCACATGACCCAGAGGGACTTAGTGATAGCACTGTTTGTCTCTCAGAGTCTAGTGTCCCTCCTGGTTCTATCCCTGTACCTTGGGTCCTGTGAGAGGGGAGGCCTAGGGAGCTAGGCGTGTGAACCGCGCCAGATTCAGTGGTGCATTGTGGGAAGACTGTAGGCAGCAAATCAACCTTCTTTGGAAACCAAGACAGAAGCCTGAGTGAAGAGGTTCAGGGAGACTCTAGGCTGCCTCCAAGTAGAGCAACCTTCAAATGGGCAAATCCTTAATCTTCTCTAGTACCCGCTTCTTCCCAGAAAGGCACAGAGATTACTGAAACCATGGCAGTGGTTCTCAACCTGTGGGTCGAGACCCCTGTGGAGTGTCTAACGGCCCTTTCATAGGGGTCGTCTGCATCTATGACTTTCACACTTTGGCACCTTGAAGCTGGACTCTGGGGCCCAGAAAAAAAATCAGTGATTACTTGAGGTCCTAGAGTGGGTGCCAGGGTAGGTTTCTAGTCCACATAACCAGAATCCTGTTCTCTGAGGCTCCTGAGGCGCTTGGGTGGCAGTCAGACTGGGCTTAGCTCTCTGTGGCCTGCCAATGATGATGCTTCTTTCCTCTCTCCAACTAGGAAATCTGTGGGAGCAACTGAAGGATGACAGCCTGGCCCTGGACCCCCTCGTACTGGTGACCTCGTCCCCAACATCATCCTCCATGTTGCCACCTCCACCAGCAGCCCATTGCTTCCCCCCAGGGCCTTGTCTGGCAGAAACAGGCAATGAGACAGGTGAACTTGCACCTCCAGGCAGCGGCGGCTCCGGTGCTCTGGGAGACATGCACCTCAGCACCCTCTACTCGGCCTTTGTGGAACTGGAACCCACGCCCTCCTCGACAGCTGCTGGCCCTGCCGTGTACCTCAGTCCCGGCTCGAAGCCAATGGCTCTGGCTTGAGCTGTGCCCAACGTCAGCTCCAGCCTTTGCCTAGCTGGCTGCCCATATCGGGCTCACCTTAAAGGTCAAAGAAGGAAAACACTACCTGTCTCCTATGCCACTCAGCCAACTTATTTGTTAGCCGAAGCTGGGGGATCCACCCAAGATGCTACCTGGTGGACCCGCTCCTCATACTGGGCCCCAGCAAGGGAAGTGTCGGAAAAGAAGCAACAGCGCGCCCCCTAGCGCCAGCTCACTCGAACTTCAGCTCTCGAGCGTGAACACACCTGCTCTTCATGTGCCTTACACTCAGAGAAAGCCTTAGAATATCACGGGGTCTGATTTGATTTCTGGGGCAGCTGAGAGCTAAAAACTTTAGTAGCAAAGCTCAAGGCCAGTGTGACAGGTCAAAGATCACCCCCCAAATCTCATCCTAATCCCCATGTGTTCTACAGGCCTGGCCCACTCTAGTCATGTTCTCTCCCAGAAATCTCTATTTATTCTCCCATCTTACACCCTTACAACCTACAGGGGCTCCTTCCATGTGACCTGTGAACCCCTTACGGAGACAGCTACTTCACAGGATTTATCTATCCATCCTCACCATACACTCTGGCTAACCACCTCCAGGGTGACACAGAAGAGGCAGCATCTACCCTGGGACCAAACTGAGCCCAAATCCAACACAAAGTGTTTGGAAAAAACTCTTGTCCTCAGAAACTTGAACTTGCCCCCCTCTCTTAGTCTCAGCCACAGGAAAGGCCCCCTCCAGGTTGCCAAGTCTCACTCTTTCTCAAAGAGAGGTTCATATACTTTAGGCCCCAGCTTCCTAGATACTGTTAACATCTCAAGCATCCTGGGTAACTCGGGTTTTCAGCCCGCTACAGGATGGGGTGTATTGTGATGTGCGCACGCACACACACACACACACACACACACACACACACCTGCATAGCAGACTTGGGACTCCCACAGAGCCAGCAGAATGTCTGTGAAGCTGAGATTTGACTCAAATGCCCACCATGACCCACCAAGTGGGATCCTCAGCCTTCCCTGGGCATGAGGGCAACAAGTACCTCCATAGGTTGTCTCCAAGCTCACACAAGGGTGGGCAGATCCCTCAGTCATCTACCATTGTCCCCTGTTCTGGAACAATAAAGAAAGTGCCTGATGGTTGCAACTACTGAGCCTTCATTTTGGGACCTTCACTCCCCAAGCAGGGTGTCTAGGACTTTAACAATATCATACATACATACATACATACATACATACATACATACATGGTGTGTGTGTGTGCACATTGGAAAATATGTGCTGTGTATGTCTGTGCATATGTGTGCTGGTCCAAAAGAAGGCATCAGATCCCTGGAGCTGGAGTTACAGGCAGCTGTGAGCCTCTGGGTGGATGCTGGGAACCAAATCTAGGATCTCTAGCAGAGCAGAAAGCACTCTTAACTGTTTGAGCCATCTCTCCTGCCTTAGTAGGGCATCTAGACCAGTGGTCCTCAACCTGTGTTTAAGACCCCTTTGGGCCAAATGGCCCTTTCACAAGGGTCATATATCAGAGACCCTTTTATACCAGATGATATTTATATTTCAGGTCATAACAGTAGCAAAATTACCATTCTGAAATAGCAACGAAATAATTTTACAGTCAGGAGTCACCGCAACATGAGAACATTAGGAAGACTGAGAACCACTGCTCTAGACCAAGCTGGGTGAGCAACCAGGCAATGCCTCTTCTCAGAGGAACTTAAAAAATGGGAATCTGGGGTTGCCTATCCAAAGAAAGAAGGTGACTTCTTTCAATGCCTCTTCTTCTGACACCTGTCTGATGCTGCCATGGCTGACCCTAACCGCACAAGACAGAGTCACTGGTGTGGCTGGAGAGATGACTCGATGCTTAAGAGCACTTGCTGTTCTTCCAGAGGACCAGGTTTCAATTCCCAATGCCTTATAACCTCTGTAATTCCAGGTCCAGGGGATCTGATGCCTCTGGTGGCCTCTAAGGGCACTGCACTCACATGTAGGCATACACACCTTTATTTATTTATTTATTTATTTATTTATTTATTTATTTATTTAAAGGAAAAGAAAAGGTCACTTATAGGGTGTTTCTTCTTGTCACTACCTGGGAGAGATGCTAAGTGTGTTTGGGGCCCTGGGTTCCATGGGTGACAAGATGGAGCATAACCTGGTGCTGCCTGTGCTGTTGGTGGTGGAAGATGAACTTAAGAAGATCAAGAGTCCATTACAGTCTACCCCATAGGTAGGGGTGGCTGTCCCATTACAGTTCACCCCGTAGGTAGGGGTGGCTGTCCCAGTAAGGGGCAGTTCTATAGCTCTTCCTCCAGAAGCATGTACATGAGTCTAGATCAGCCACATGTGGGTCTTTGACTAAAGTTAGTCTGGGGGTCAGGCCTGGAGGCCACCCAACACTTAACAGGGCTCTAACAAAGAATCCCAGATCAGAAGCTCACCCCATATTATATGGGGTGAGCTCCTCTAGGAAGGAGCTGGGGTCGGGTAGGACGTGGGAGAGGCATGGCCAGCTGGCACACCCAAGAAAACAAATTGCCTCAGTGGAAGAGGGATACAGTTGTCTGCCAAATCCCAGGATATGTGGTGCCCAGTTTGACCAGCGCTGGCCTGCATCTTGACACCCAGGCCCTCAGGCACAGGACAAATGATTCCTAAAACTGTTCTGGGACCTACTTCCTTTGTTCTTGACACTTGGGACCTGGGGACACAGACAAGCTTTCTCTTACCCCTATATACCTTAAACTAGGAGACAAGGTATCTCCAGGAGGCCTTCAATCAAATCTGTCCCTGTGGCCTCATTCGGCATGTCATGTGTGAGCTGGCTGCCTGAGCAAGGACAGTGAGTGGAAAGCAGATAGGACTTTGAGTGTAATTGTCCGGGTCCTTTGTCCCTAGACTGCACAGCAGATTTTAAAACTGGACCCAACTCTGTTCTGAAAACAAAGCCCACACTCTTGCTGCTATGCTGCCCCCCGCTGGCCAGCCTCTGGTTAAGATGGAACTGGCCAGAGCAGTTGTAAATCCATCCAAAAGGGGAATTAGCCCTTTTGTTTACGGATTCCACAAAAATTTTCAAACTACTGGGTCATAGAAGTGCACATATGTAATCTAGGCTCTTGGAGTGTGGAGGCAGGAGAATCAGGGGCATGAAGTCAAGCTTCAGCTACATAGCCAGTTCAAGAAGAAAATAATTCAAAAGCCCATAAGCTTGGAGGAAAAAAAATACATCATCAAGTGCTGGAAAGATGAACCAGTGGATAAGAGCACTGGAGCCCTGATTTCAGACCCAAGCACCCACATAAAAAGCCACATGTGCCTGACAGTCTAGCAATGAGAGATGAGGGACAGAGACAGAGGATTGTTGGGCTTACTGGCCACCAGCGCTGTTCAGTCTCAAAGGAATAAGACAAAAAGCAGGGCCCTCTGGCCTATATAGAAGCACACCCATCCACACATACGCAATTACACACACACACACACCACATTCATATCCATACACAGACACAAAGTTACATCATTTTGATCTTTACCTGAAACTTAGCAAAGCTGAGACAAATCATAAGCTTTAGATTTTGCCAAAGAAGCCAAAGAAGCCATGCCTGGTGAGCTACTGCAGGCTCACCCCAACACTCAGAAGGCTAAAAGAGGATGGCCACTTGAGCTAGGATTTCAAAGCCAGCCTGGCTGCCATAATGAGATGCTGTCTTAAAACAGAGGAAAGCACACAGTGGTGGCGCATGCCTTTAATCCCAGCACTTGAGGGGCAGAGGAAGATGGATCTCCAAATTTGAGGTCAGCCTGGTCTACAGAGATAGTAGTTTCAGGACATCCAGGGATACACAGAGAAACCATGTTTTGAAGGGAAAGAAAATTTTTAAATAAAAAAAAAAACAGAGGAGAAAAAATAAACCACAAATATGATCTTAGGGTGAGGTTGGAAGACAATGGTTGAGTTCTTGCCTCGTGCTTGTGAAGACCTAGGTTCCAAGTTCTAGTTCTACAAAAAGAATAAAAAAGGAAACATATCTTCATAGAATATTATAAGCATTGCAATACACACAAATATGTCATTTTAAAGACAAACAGTTGTAGGATGTAACATGTATGTTGATGAAAAAAATCCATATTGTCCATAGTCTTTAACAGGTTGATGACAAAGGGGTCCACAATGCATTAAAAAAACTAGAGATGGCTCAGCACTTAGGAACATTAGTTGCTCTTGCAGAGAATCTGGGAGATTCCAGCATCTACATGGTAGTTCGCAACTGTCTGTAACTCCAGTTCCAGGGATCTGGTGCCCTTGGTATATACTCATATATGTAAAATTAAATTAAATTAAATTATATAGTTATTTTAAATAAGCCAGGCATTGCTATGCATACCTTTAATCCCAGCACTCAGAAGGCAGAGGCAGGAGGATCTTTGTGAGTTCACGTTATCTGTCTGTCTGTCTGTCTGTCTGTCTGTTTAAATAAACAAAGCATAAGAAGCTTTAGTTGCTTATGGATGGTGACACTTAGGGGAGAGGCTGGGCTAAGGCGAAAGCAGTGGAGCCCTGGACATCTGTTCTTTACCAACCGGATAAGATGTCTCCATGTTCTAACACCTGGGCTGGCAGTCCCAGCATACATCCTGAAGGCTAGCCCAGGTGGGTGACCAGTGTGAGGGTCCCTGCAATGTCTGGGTTTCCTGCTCTATCCAGTAGTAGAATCCTCACCACATCCTTAAAGACTCAAAACTAAAAAAGACTGGTTCACTTCAGTGAGATTATCTGAGACCTGGCAAGACCACAAGAATTGTCCCTTCAAGATGAACAACTCAGCAGCACCAAACACCTCACTTCCTTCTGCTTTGGCAGCCAGACCAACCAATGTGAGAGTTGTGAAAACTACAAGGGTCTCTCTCTCTCTGTCTCTCTCTCTCTCCCCTCCTCCCTCTCCTCTCCTCCCTCTGCTTCTCCCTTCCCCTCTCCCTCTTCCTCCTCTCCCTCCTCTCCCTCACCCTCTCTTCCTCTCACACTCTCCCCCTCTCCCTCTCCCTCTCTCTTTTTCCAGCCTTGCCTCCTCCAGGCCCAAGGAATGGAAAGAGCCAATCTGGTACCCAGCTACAGGGATGCAGAATATAGAGCCCCCTTGTGGTCTGAATTCAGAAGCGCAAAAAAAAAACCGCATTAGTAGCTCAGCCTACTTTTTACTTGCCTCTCCCTGGGGCACGCAGCTCAGGGTTAGGAGATGGGGGTGTGTTGGGGTTGGGGGAGGCTAGGGGGAGGCTAGGGAGGAGGTGTCCTTTACTATCAGTCATACCAGGAAGGAAGTCTTCTTTCTGACCCAAGTGTAAGTTCCACTTCACTATGACTTTCTGAAGACTTGTAACCCCACAAACTAAAACAATCACAAGAACAAGCCTGTACACCTGTGCAGCCTCATTGACAAAAACCCCTCCACATTAATTACAGTTTGTTTTTGTTGTTGTGGTTGTTTTGTTTTATTTTTGAGACAGAATCTATGTAGCTCTGGCTGACCTCTTGAGTGTTGGGATTAAAGGCATATGCCACCATGCCCAGACTAATTATAGATTTTTGCCACATGCCTTCACCACTTTTGTGGCCACTAAGGGTTTCTGAGATCTGGATTCCATGTGTCACACTTCCCTGTGAGGATACAGCTCAGTGGTGAAGCACTTGTCTAGGATACCCAAGGCTTGGGTTAAACTCAAAATAGGTAGCTACACTCTCCATGGTGAGTTCCCCTCCTACCCTGTTCTCAAATCCTGACCTCACCCAGTGTCCTAGGTAGAGTTATTATTTTTTTTTTTTTCGAGACAGGGTTTCTCTGTGTAGCCCTGGCTGTCCTGGAACTCACTCTGTAGACCAGGTTGGCCTCGAACTCAGAAATCCGCCTGCCTCTGCCTCCCAAGTGCTGGGATTAAAGGCATGCGCCACCACCGCCCAGCCTAGGTAGAGTTGTTTTTTTTTTCCCTAGGTAGAGTTATTAACACTGTGATGACGCACCATGACCAAAACAACTTGGGAAGGAAGGGGCTTATCTGAGTCTTACACTTCCACACTGAACAGGAACTCACACAGGGCAGAAACATGGAACGAGAAGCTGCTGCAGGAGGCAGAGGCAGGCGGATTTC